CTTCACAAAAATGGCTTCTTTTACTCCTCTCTCAAACCAACGTTCCTCTCTATCAAGAATGAGAACATCCTCATCTCTGAAAGAGTGACCGCTGAATCACCGTCTTCGATGATTCACCCTGTCACTGCTATCATAAACTGTCATGGTCAATACAATTTGCACTTTTTGACATAAAAAAGAAAAAAATATAGAACTTGTGAAAGTCTACCAAGAGCAGGTCGCTCTCGCAAACTGAGTTGGCATCAAATGACAGCCTGATGGTGGCAACTCCTTCAGTGTGCTAACAGGTGTCTCTCATGATTCTGATTCTTGTACAATCACTCAGTTTGTGAGGACGGCCTGCTCACAGTGGAGTTGGTATGATGAGGTGAATGGGGATAGGTGAAGAACCCATGTGAGCGGGGGGCCTCATTACTGGGTCCATTGCTCCCCAAAAAGACACAGGTCTTTAATCAAACTTTCATGTTCCACCCCCTTATGAATGACGATGATGAAGGACATGAGGTTAGAAACACTCTGTGCTGAGATACACAGGATCGATAAAGGGGTCCCCAAGAATTCTTGTCCTTTGATCACTCAGAGCCAGGCAGTGGTCTAAATAGTGCAAAGAGGTCTCTAATTCAATGCCACAGGCATCACACAGATCACTGTCTTGGAGTCCCATCACCATTTTTTGTCGGCTGAGCAGATTGTTCCCAGTTAGGACTCCAACCAGTTTTCCTTGACAGGGTGATGAGAGCTTTCCCAAACCTTAGATTTGAGCCGTTAATCAATTCCTGTGCCTGTCTACAGTCCTTCAGCTCCCTCCAGTGGATTGAGTGTTGATGTCTAATCCAGGCCTGTAGGGCAGTCCTACAGACTGTTGTTGAGATGCCTACAACAGGCTCAGGGGTCTCATTTATAAAGGATTGAGTGGAAACCATACTAAAAGTGAACATACGGCCAAAAGGCGGAAATGGCGTATGCCAAAAAATTCAGATTTATAAAACCGTGCGTACGCACGTTTCTGCGCATCTTTCCTATATAAATCACAGCCGCACGTCAGAGTTTGCACACGAGGTCCCGCCTCAGGTTCTACCCTCTACATGCCCACATTCAACCATAAACAGTCAATGCAAAG